CATAGCAGCGGCAGATGGTGGTGAGGTATTCAATTAAGTGGAGTCTTAATGTAGGTCTGGCTCCCAGTGTTCACGTTTCCAGTCTCTAAATACATAATTAAATAGCTTAGTAGTTAACAGAACACCCACATTGATTTCTTGACCTGTGCCATAGGAGCTTGTGCAATGAAGAACAGCTGGAGAATTCTGTCCTTCCTCCCTATCAGCTATTAAATTTTAAAAAACAGTATTTTATCCTAGGAGAATTTTAAAGGCTAATAGCACCTTTAAAAACCTAAAGAACAATAAGGCTAGGTGTGGTGGCACATGCCTGTAATCCCAGCATTTGGGAGGCTGAGGCAGGAGGATTACCGTGAGTTTTAGGAGCTTGGGCTACATAGTGAGACCCTGACTCAAAAAACAAAAAATAAACAAACAAAAAAACCAAACCCCCCAAACAAAAACAAAACAAAGAATCAATCAAAAACAAAGCCTAGCGAACACAGTGAGGCTGAGGCAGGAGAAACGCTGTGAGTTTGCAGCCTGAACTTCATGGTAAAACCCTGTCTCAACAAGAAAAAGAAAATCAAAAAACAGCTACAACAAAATCCCTAAAATGCTGCTGGGGCCCAAAGCACCTTCATGTCATTTACCAGTCTGGGTCTTGAAAAAAAATCAGATGGATCCTGGAGGGAGACAGTGGATAATCCCCAGTTCAGCCAGGCAGGGGCGCTATCCACAGCAGCTGCACCAGCGCTCACGCTTTTGCTAGAGAAATTACACAGCTCTGGGTGGACTGCAGGCGGTCATGGGTCTGGCAAACGCTTTCTTTTCTACGCTTATCTCTATCCCCCAAAGAGAGGGATTATCTTAGTTACTTTTAGGGACGCTTCCCTGGCAAGCGCAAGGACCTGAGTTCAATCCCCGGTTCCGCCAAAATAAAAAATTAAAAAAAAAAAAAGAGAGAGAGAGAGACAAAATATGTGACATCCACAGCTCTAATGAAGAAAGAGTCATTTTGACTCGCAGTTTGTAGAGGTTCCGGTTCAGTTGTCAGGCT